CGATTTGTAGCTAAAGGGACAGATATATGCTTTAGTCGTACCGGGTGCTTTCCACGAAACGAATCAAAACCAAAAGACCGACGAATATTAAAAGAGTATCGAAAGTACCCAAAAAACACCGACAAACATCGAAAGTATAAAAACAGCAGCGCAAGAGCTTAAACTATAAAAAAAAACGAGAAATGAAGAAAACTAAATAGTTCTCTTTAAAAATGTTTGCATGCCTCAGCGTTCTTTGGTACTTTCGGTGCTTGTTTGTATTTCAGCTACCGATTCGGTCATGTTTTAATACCCGTCGGTATGTTGATACCAATTTGCTATCAATGAGAATCGTTTGTATGAACTCATTTATCAACAATGCACATCCGCATGACATATTTTCATTTTATTGTTCAATTATTTGACGTTGAGACCCACCAATCATTGGCAACATGGTTCAATAATTTCTTTAGACGATATTTGTTAAATGCAAGAGAAGTGGTGCACCGCGTGTTTTCAGTTTGAATTTCAGTTCATTGTGAAGGAATTATGACTCTCATTATCTGCCGTTGCTTGAATGGAGGGAGCAATTCTTCTTTTACTTTTCCGCACACACCTAGTGTGTAAGGTAAAGTATTGGAATCGGTCGAAAAATTGACATCCTCAAAAAACATGTTTTCTGGGTGTTTTAGGACCCAGGGAACACGAATCTAGCGTTTTTTCGATGTCCGAATGTATGTGCGTGGTACCCTGTACGCTGTACGCTGTACGCTGTACGCTGTACGCTGTACGCTGTACCCTGTACGCAAAAATTTGTTAACACGATAACTTTCAAACAAGAAAAGTAATTCAAAATCTGACTTCACAGGATGATTGGGGGTGCCGAGGAATAGAAACCATTAGATTTTGAGCGACTTTGGTTGACAGGGTAAAGTGTCATGTCTGGTGTGATGCCCATGTCCATCCATGGGAAAAATTCAATTTTTCTTCCAAAAGTGATATTTAATGTATGCTTAAACACTCAAAAATGTGTATTGGGGGGTTTTTGGGTACGAGAAAACCGAATATGACGTTAGTTTTGCGATACAATCAACTTTCGAAACACTTTTCATACAAAAAATTCAAAAAATTTGGATTTTTGTATGGAAGCCATGCCTGTATGATATCGTAATGAGCTGAAACTTTGCACAGGTTATTTTTATCACACATAAATACTATTCCGAGAGTTTGAAGACATTTCAACGAATATTAGGGGCACCTCCCGAACAATATTTTGGATTTTTCGCTCTAAAACGAAATTTTGTATGGGAAGTACCCTTAATATGCATTGAAATTTCTTCAAACTTTCAGAATGTTAACTTTTTGTGAAAAAAATAACCTCTGCAAATTTTCACATGATTACGATATCATATAGGCATGGCTCCGATACAAAAATTCCCATCTTTAGTAGTTTTTGTAAGAAAAGTGCTTCGAAAATTATTTTTATCTAAAACTAATGTCAGATTCAGTTTTTCGTGAGTTCAAATTCAAGTAAAAGATAAGTTATAATTTATAATTTATAACTTATAAATGAATTTTGTGGATCACAGTGCGGAAAAGTTCATCTTACGTATGTAAGACATTTTATTTTTTATGCTTTTCACCGGAAAGGCAGTAAAATAAGCGTCGATTGACTAATTACGCATTATTTACTGATATTGTTGATTTTATAGCCTGCGAAGTGAAGTAAAATAAGTTATTTTTGGTGATAAGACTGTTGCTTTTTCCAATTCGTATTTAAATCGTCGTTTTTGTACTCAATGAAGTGTGATTTCTTTTGAATGTGAAAGTATTATTGTCTATCTTAATCAAAGAACAATGATCCACCGCCGTATGTGTTTCATGCACTTCTATAAATTCAGCCGATCGATGAATTTCTGGAGTTTGTATTTAAAAGCGGTTTGTTTGTTTTCCCAAACACGTATTGACCTAAATACATGACCGAATACAGTGAATGATGAGTTATTAATCTAAAGTTAAAGGTAAATTAACGTAGTTCCTTTTGGTGTTCCGGTTTCAAAAAGCAAAATTTTACAAATTTTAACAACATTTTGTCGAACGAACAATTTTACAAGTAATTTTTAGATTCACAAAACGAAGTTTCTGTTTTAGTGTATGTTGTGCAAACTTGAATAAATCGGCGGCGCCAAAAATATTCGAAACCTTTTAAAATAAAATTAAATTTTCCCATGATGGCCAATTTGTAATTGTTTCGATACGTGGAATTCGGAGTGTATCGTCGGTGCGAGCATGTTATCGTTGATTCTCTTTCCGTCGAAACCTTACTTTATGACTCAATAAATTCGTGCCAATGCAATCACAAGAACCTTTTATACTTTTATTGCATTTTCAGTCTTTGTGTTTCGTTTTCAATTCCAAGAAATCTATATAGTTTGGGTTTGTTCCGTTGTGAACCATTTGACCATTCGCACTTTCTCCCACTACAATTCTTCGGGTTCAATTTTTGCATTTATAAACACAGTCTAGTGTTCCCATTCTTTTAAAGTACAGTTTGTAATCATTATCGTCGATTCAAAAGTGACATTTTCGGTATGAAACAGTCGAAGTTTGATAGTTGTTTTGAATAGTTATAAGCTCGGTGGATAGTCTTTTTGCGCTCACGAGCAAATTAGTCTTTCAAAAAAGTTGTCGGCACTCGATAAAGAAGAAAGAAGAGAAAATGAATTTGAAAAGTTTTATCATTTATTGCGGTATGTGTCTCACGTTGAGTGATCAATTGAAAATATTGTAAAAAAACTCTAAAAACTCAATTGACTCTTTTCAGTGATATTTGCGCTGATTTCAATACAAGTTGAATTGAATGAATATGCTCATTTGGTAGGTAGCCGCCTATTTGGACACGTTTTGAAGAGAATTTCGATAAATTAAACACCTTTTAAAATGTAGGGCAACAATCGAAGTGAAGAAAATGAATCTGACATAGAATCTCATACGAACAGTGTTCTTTCAAACGATCATGACGAATATGGGAAATTCTTAGTTTATTCGGTAGGGCAGTTTCTCTGATCTCTCAAATCTGATTTTAACATTTCTCTTCCTATTCGAAAAAGGTTCAATCACCAATCGATCTCAGGATGAACGATGTGAAAATAGCAAAACATTTGGTACCATTGCGATTTTTCGGTCATTGGAATCGAGAGGGAGAGGCTTACATTGAAAATACTGGAAAATCAGCAGAAATAAAATTTAAAGGTCGCGACGAACAACCATACATCTTAACCGGTGGTCTTTTCGATCATGGTGGTCATTACATTTTTGAACAAATTCATTTTCATTGGGGTGAAAATAATGAGATGGGTTCAGAGCATAAAATCGATGGAAAATCGTGAGTTTTCTTTTTCTTTAAAAATCCAAAAAGAACTAAAAAATAGATTTGGTTCTAGGTATTCAATGGAAGGACATTTGGTTCATTACAACTCGAAATATAGCAATTTCAATGAGGCGTCGAAGGAAAAAGACGGTTTGGTTGTAGTTACTTTCTTCTTTGATGCTACTGGAAATAAAACGAATCCCGAATTTGCAAAAATAAGCAATTTTCTTGGAAAAATTACTGAAGTTCATTCCAATTTTTCCATTAGCTCCGGTAATATTTATAAAATTCATAAAGCAAACTATTAACTCAAATAAATGTACAAATTTCAGACAGTTTAAAATGGATGGAATCTCAAGATTTGGATGAAAATTATTTTACATATCGCGGATCGTTGACAACGCCACCATATTATGAATCGGTCACATGGATCATTTATCGCCAACCAATTAAAGTGTCTACAGATCAGATTGAAGCTTTCCGCAGTCTCAAATCAGTGGATAGTTCACTAATTAAAAATAACATTCGTCCCATACAATTGCCATACAAACGACCGAAGATTACTTTCATAGTTAAACGTTGCGAACAATTTAAATTTAAAATCAAACAAATGATTAGCTGTTTATTCATCAAAAATTAATTATTTTCAATAAAAAAACGTTATTTTTTGACAATTTCACTGATAATTTCAATCAATTCAAGTCACTTCAAGGTTCTGTGAACTCCAAGGTCAGTCACAATATGATACGGTTTTTTCCGAAATATGTTCACAATGAGGCGGTATACATTCGTCAACGACCATATCATGTAAAAAGCACCAGTTCTCGTCCGATCACTGAAGTTAAGATGCATTGAGCATGGTTAGTACTTGAATGGGTGACCGTCTGGGAACACCATGTGTCGTTGGCACCATTCTTTTTTTCACTTTTTTTTTTAAATCATTTTTCCATGTTTTCAATATGTTTTCTTCTTTTTATTGCCTTTTCTCTTGCAATAAATGAATCAAAAATCGATTACTTTCTCCAAAATTATTTTTTTCGTATTAAAATATGTATCATATTTTTAACTTTGTTCTCGAAAGCTATTCAATGGAAGCGCATTTGGTTGGTTAAGTTCAAAGTTTCTTTCATTATTGCTATTTAACAAACCGCACCTTTCTCTTAGGTTCACTTCAATCAAAAATACGGAGATTTTCAAACGGCAATGCAAAAATCGGATGGATTAGTGGTGGTTGCGTTTTTCATTCAAATTCTGGGTGATATACAATGTGACTTATTTCGTAAAATCAGCGATGCAATCCCGAAAATACGTGAACCGAAAACAAAATGCACCATTGATTCTGGTGAGTGTCATCATTCGTTCCAAAAATAAACAGAAAATAATTTAAAATATATCATAAATTACAGACTGTTTACAGTGGCTGTCGTTGCAAGAATTGGATAAGCATTACTTCACGTATCGTGGATCATTGACAACGGCACCGTATAATGAGTGCGTCACTTGGATAATTTATCGAACGCCGGTATTCGTATCAAAGCAACAGGTTTGTATTAAAATGAATGATTTGGGGTTAAAATACAATAATTAACTTTAAAGTGTGAACTTGAATATTTAAATTCTTGGACACATTTAAAGGTTTCCGTTTTCCGTAACATGTTCTCCATTGATCCAACAAAGAGAATTGTAAGGAATTGCCGGTCGATACAAACGACACCGCCCAATCGAATGCCGTCGGTTATTTTTACACGCAACATTCAACTCAAGTCGAAATTATAACACATAAGTCGGGTGACACAATTCGTCTTCAACATGGAAAATGGAAAAATGGTTAAAAATGCAACAGCACTGTGTGGCCTTTTGATTCAAACATTTATACACTAGTTGACATGAATAAAGAACATAAATTTGAATAAAACATGATTTCTAGTTGTTTTATGGTGGAAACAGTGAATTGAACCGGTAATAAACTTCAATTTTTCGATCGAAGAGTGTAATTCTAGTTGAAAATTGGAAACTGACGTTTGAACAAAATTTATGGTCTGCTTTTACAATGGATAGTATGATAATGCCATAAAAACATATGACCAATGGAAAGGAAACAAATGGAGATTTAATATGTGGAGTGAAGGAACAAGATACCAAAATAGAAAATAATACAATAAAATCAGAATGTTAGGTAATATTTATTGGATGGCAAACATGTTTGAGAATTCACTTTTTCAGTGTGCATATGGAAAAATCGTTTCGGTATTGCACCTTTTTACTCTCTATCGAATCATGTCTTCTATGATTGTCAATAAAACACTTAAGTCAAGTGTTGTTTCATTTTTTTTTACTTGATCAGTTTTTTAGTTTTATCTAACTCTTATCAATGGAAAAATCCACTATTAACAACCGTAAAACATAGAGAGATAATGAGGCACGTAGCTATCTCTTACTTTATATTATTTTCTTTATATTTAGTATATTTTGGACTTTCATACAGAAACTTACGTTTCATTTCAGAGTTATGTGCTCCATCCAATTGAAAACGGTGTTATTTATTTGTTTAATATTTAAAATTTTCGCCACGTGTGATAATGAGTGCAACCTTGGACTCTTTCGGACTCAAAATAATGATAAAGTGTTGAAATCAAAAGAGGACGCATTAATATTCGCTCACGTTGTAAGTTTTTTTGTAAATCATCCATCATTTGCTTATCAGTTACACAATACACATGAATTTAATAAAATAATCGTTTTTCAAGATCCATCGTCACGGCGATCGAAATATTTTATTTTCTTATAAAAATGACCCCTGGAAAGATGAGTCGAATTGGGTTGGTGGATTTGAAGAACTTACACGTGTAAGTAAGACAAAGAGAATCCAAAAATGATGGTCCGAGAAGGAATATATGAGACATCTCTTAAGTTTTCATTGAGAGTTTGGAAACAATTCTATTTTCATAGATTTCGTTTTAATATTTAAGAAAATACTTTTACAAATAATTTGCAATTGACTAATTAAATGTATCTCGAACACAGGAAGGTAAAAGGCAAACATTCGAATTGGGCCAATATTTACGCCGTAGATATGGAAAAATAATTGGCGATCAATACTCGCCGAACAAAGTCTATGTTAGATCCACAGATGTTGATCGCACTTTGATGTCAGCTCAAGCGAATTTGGCTGGTCTATTTCCACCTACCGCAAATGAAACATGGAACGAATATATTCCATGGCAACCAATTCCAGTTCACACCATGCCGATTCTCTTAGATCACGTGCTATCACATGATTCGAAATGTCCAAAATATGATGAAGCACTTCAAAAATTCTTGAAAGAATCGACAGAAATTCAACAAATTTACACAAAATATGCCGATAAATTTGAGTATTGGTCGCGAATGACCGGAGAAAATATTACAACTATTTTCGATGCCTATGAGTTATATGGAATTTTTTACATTGAAACTATGCAAAATAAAACGTAAGTAATAGTTCATTTAAGTTCATCAATTTTGATCTGGAAGCATACATTGAGTTTTAGATAGGATAGATCCGTAAGATCTCCGAAAGAGATAGATCTAAGCGTGCGTACGCCGCCGCATGGTTACATACACACGCAGACTCATTCTTCTTAGTTCGGCTACTTTGATTTGCGTGTCGAAACAACACGATAAAACGAATGCATGTATCATGCGGCGGCGTACGCACACTTAGATTTAGCTCTTGCGGAGATTTTACGGATCTATCCTACACAAAAATCAATGTATGCCCGGAAGCAATTAAAACACCCTTGTCTAGATGTAACGAGAGTTCGAAAGTGAAGACCTTTCTTATGTTTTATTTAATTGGAATATGACGTAAAGTCCACAAATAATTCAATTGTTTTGACTTTAATCGTAATAATTAAAATCTAATCACCTTTTTTTACTTTTGTTCTTGTACTTTTTGTTCTATTTTTTTGTATGGTTGTTTTCAATAAGATCTGTTACAGCGAACTGTCAAAATTTTGAACAAACAACATACCCTCAACAAAATTCAAACCAAATTGACACGTTTAACTAAGGAGCCTTGTGTACTTTTGAATGGAAATGCGTTTCGAAATTCATTGTATTAGTTTGACAACACAGATCTTTTTGGAAATGACTATACAAGTTGTAAAGTCAAAAAGGTGATAAGATTTTAATTATTACGATTAAACTCAAAACAATTGAATTAACTTTTTTTATATTTTCGCATATGATTCGCATTGAGATAATTATTCATTTATATGTAGATTACCAGACTGGGCCAAAAAGGAATACAACGACCCAAATGGACTACTGTATAATATTGGAAAATTAAAACTAATGATATCAACATATACCAAAGAGTTGGCCCGTCTAAGAATTGGATTTTTAATCAAAGAAATGTTTGAACATTTTACTCAGAAAATCAATAACACAATGAAGCCGGACCGATCTTTGTGGATTTATAGTGCTCACGACCTGACAATTGTGAATGTACTGAATGCTCTTGGAGTTTTTGATGTAAGTGATATACGCTCCCTATAACCGGATCTGGTTATAAAAAGTATTTCTGAATATTTTCAAATTCAACAAATTTAATAATAATGAATTTGAATTTCAGCCGGTACACATACCACCATATGCTTCGAGTCTACATTTGGAACTCTACAGAAACTCTGCAAACGAACATTATATTCAAATTTTCTATCGAAAAGATAACGATGAAGTTATTTCTGCAATGAATCTGCCAAAATGCGGGAAGAAATGTTCATTGGAACAACTGTACAAGCTTTACAGCGAGATAATTCCCGGTGACTATGATTCAGAATGCCTATGAAGCTTGAGTCAATTGAGTAACAATAAAATTACGAAAGTTGAAATTGAATTTAATGTTGAATGCCAAAAGTTAAAAGAAAAAATGAATTCGTAGATTAAAAAATGATCAAACTTTTGCAAAAATAAAAAAAAATCTGCGGTAATAATAAAGTGGAAAGTTGTCTCGGTATATCGCATAATCTCTCAAATATATTAGCAAAAAAGGTGAAAAAGGGTTTACTCTTAAGAACCAGAAACTGTAAATGTATAAAACAAAGGATGATTTTTCCCGATATATGTTCGCAATGAAACGGTATACATTCGTCAACGACCATATCATGTAAAAAGCACCAGTTCTCGTCCGATCACTGAAGTTAAGCTGCATTGAGCATGGTTAGTACTTGAATGGGTGACCGTCTGGGAACACCATGTGTCGTTGGCACAATTCTTTTTTTTTCTTTACCTATTTATGTTACTTTTTTCCACACACCTGGTGTGTAAAAGGAATTTTTTTTTCGTAAAATTTCAATTTTGCTCAATTATAATGCTGTTTCCTTTTGTGAATTTTTTAGTTAGATAATTTATATTTAAATTAGCATTTCGCTAGTACCTTTCCATTATTTATGTACATGTCCAATCAATGTGAAAAAAATCCAATTTTATTCAGTGTTACTTTCAAATGGAGAAGCACTAATGGCACGTGCCAATAATTATAGTTGGTGCGAGCTTAAGCGTTTTGAAACCACTCTTCTTGAACACGAACAGGGCTGTTATTTTCACTCTGTAAGTGCACGCACACAGAAGTGTGCACACTCACACTCAATGTGCGTCGCACACAGTGCTTGTATTTTACAAATTTGCCAACCGCCAAAAATGTCAAACTTGTGACTAAGTGTGCGCGCACATGCAAAATACAAGCATTGTGTGCGACGCACATAGAATGTGAGTGTGCACACTACTGTGTGCGTGCACTGACAGAGTGAAAATTACAGCCCTGAACACGAACTGCTTTTTCTGAAAATTCGTAAAGTGTGCAACGCCTCTTTTTGAAACTACTCTCATATTTCATACATTGTCTAGTACAAAGACTCTCGTTATCAGTTTTCACTGGCGAAATTGACACATGATCAACAAGCAGGAGTCGCTGAAAATAGATGTGAAACTAATCTATACCGTGTATTCAAACTGATTCATGAACACTTTCCAAAGACATGTTCGAAATTGAATGGTACCACCTTTATTCTCTGGAAATCATATGTTAGTAGTTGATTTACCTTCAATGCAGCAATTTTTTGAATTTACTCAGTTCTCGAATCAATTCGAAGAAATTATGGTTTACATTTGTATTTAGGCTCCACCTCGATGAATTCAGTAGTTAGCGATTTCAACACTAACATTGCATTCGCCAACCATTGGCGGCCACATCATGTATTTAGAATCACCTGATTTTACTTTTCCGCACACACCTAGTGTGTAAAGGTAAAGTATTGGAATCGGTCAAAAAATTAACACCCATCAAAAATGTGATTTCTGGGTGTTTTTGGGGCCAGAGAACACGAATCAAGCGTTTTTTCGATTTCCGAATGTATGTGCGCAAAACACTTTCATCGATAAAAAAATACAATAAAAAAATAACTTTTTTCATTTTCAAAGGATGAATAAATTCCCGATGAAAAAGTGCCGTCAGCCGATGATTGGGGGTTGCGACGAATAGAAACCATTAGATTTTGAGCGACTTTGGTTGATAGAGTGACGTGTCATGTCTGGTGCGGTCACTCAACCGAGAAAACCGAATATGATATTAGTTTTGCGATAAAAACAAATGTTCACATGATTACGACTTCAGACATTGAAAAGTCTATCAAAAATTATTTTGTCTATAATGTGGATCACAGTGTGGAAAAGTTCATCTTACGGATGTAAGACATTTTATTTCCCATGATACCATCACCGATTCTCAGCCTATTTACTTTTTCAGTACACCCAGCATTAATCTCAATAACAAACATCCTTTTAGTGTAGATTTGAACTGACGTCGAATAACATCGACGAACACAAATATTTTATTCAAAGAATCCAAACCAAAAGCATTCAAAATGCCTATATTATTTACAATAAAAAATCATTTAACAATTTTGGGCATTTTACCGGTGCGCGAGCAACATTTTCCCGAAATATTTCGAGAATATCGCTTGACATTCAACACTGTTCACACTTTGTTCATTTTGTCGATGGTGATGTGCTACACATCTGCGGTGATATTGTTTCCATTTTTGAGAATAAACAGATATGAACAATATTTTCAAAGCGTTTTGTATTGTTCGGTTTCAATATTACGGGCGATTTTGTATTCCATTCTAATTTCAAAAAAATCCGATCTATCAAATTTATTTGACGAACTGGCCAATATTATTGAGAAAAGTAAGTAAAATTACATCCTCAAAATTGTCTGATACACATGTCTTGAGTATGATCGGGCAACTAATAGTTTGGCTCATTTCTAATTATGCATGTAATGACGAATCAGGAAGCAGCAAAATGAAAATTCGCGAAATTTACGATCAGGAAATTACAAAAGCTGAGAACTTTGTGAAGAAATTTTGGAAATGGATTTCTATATCGATTGCATTTTCAATTCTTCCAAAGATTCTTGTGGCGATTCACGGATATTTTGCCTTCAATCATTCAACCGATTCTTTCCAATTGATAATACCAGTTGTGTGAGTTAATTCCGCATTTAAAGCCATACTGCTTTTATTTTTTTATTTTTCAGGCAAACTTTTTGTTATTTGTCATTTATTTTACGATTAATTTTAAGTTTTTGGACACTTCCCATACAAAGTTTAACTAGCACTTCCCATACTCAATAATTTCTTCAATGGCAGATTACCCTTTATGTGGACAAATCTTAGGGATTATCTTTTAATAACAAGCACTCTGGCCGCTTGGTTCTTTGGCGGTATGCTTATAACTGTTACCACATTGGAAATTGTTGCTGGATTTTCGACGTTAATCAAAGCATTCACTATGGATATCAAACAGAGTTTGAACGATTTCAACATCTCAATCGCTGGCAGTGACCGAAATTTCAATGCTAAAGAGCGCATTGACATTTATCAACAGTTTTGTGAAATCATCGAATTTCATTGCACCGCAAAAGAGTTGAGTGTTGTAGTTTTGCCTTCAACCGCTTTTAATACTAATAAATACTTAATTTGTCGTTACTATTCGATAGATTTACCAATCGCTTCTCAGCTTTTTATGGCCCTGTCATAGCGACCTTCTTTTATGTGTCCAGCACATCGATCTGTGCATCATTACTAAGCTTGAATGCGGTAGGTTGTGCCATTAGCTATTTTTTTTTCTTTCATAAAAAAAAATTGAGGATATTAACAATGAAATTTGGCAAATCTAGCGTTTATTAGCATTGGTCTCTGTCCCCCTGAGCATGAACAACATTTATTTTTTTAGGCTTTTGAACTGCATAACACGGCCGATGTTGTAAGCATGATTGTGGGTCTCTCTTATGTTGTACTTTACATTGGCATCTTCTGCTTTTTCGGTGAAGAAGTAACAAAGGGATTTGACGAAATCAATGAGGATATTTATGAATGCTCTTGGGAAGATTTTGCAATGGAATTGAGAAAACTCTTTGTCACGATGTTAATTGGTGCCCAAGATCCAATCTACATTCATGGCTATATGAACACGCGTTGCACTCGTCAGGTTTTCCAATCGGTAATTTTTACTTTTCACTTTTCTCAACCGATATCACACGTACTTGCATTTCTTTTTCACAGATTTTTAATGGTGCATATTCTTACTTTTCTATGTTGCGGGGTATGTTATATACCAATATATAATTTTTATGCAATATTCAGAATATTTTTTCACTTTTATCAAGGGTTTTAAAAATTGAATGATTATATTTCAATCAACGGGCGAATTTTCTCGATTTTCCAGTGGAAAATCGAATAAAATAATAAGAAAAGGAGCCATAACATCTGAAAGCTGAAACAAATTGGGTGGAATACGGTTGATCTATAAGTGCTCAGGATTGTGAGAAATTTGCACGCTTTACATTGGAAAATCCACCCAATTTCAAAATAAATTTATAAAATTGTACTGCCGCACTGCTGCGACATAAAAATGCTTACTAATATTAATAAAATCTGTTATAATCAGCATGAAATTATTTGTTTACTTCGAATAACTTGAAGAAAATTTATCGATTGAGCCAATCGAATCCAGAAAGAAAGGAGCTGGATTGATCAATACTAAATGGAGTATGCAACCTCCTTCTTCTAAAGAAATCTTTTTCTCTACTTTCCACCACCCGGTACGACTAAAGCATATATCTGTCCCTTTAGCTACAAAT